GGGGGGGGGGGGGGGGGGGGGGGGGGGGAGGGGGCACAGTGGTCGTGTTTCTGAAGCAGAAGAAACGAAGACGGTGCTTCCGGCATGGTGGAAATTTGCGGGGAAGGTGGTTTTCTTTCCGTGGTTTCGAGGACCTCTGCTCTCGCAGGACACGCCCGCGTTAGCGGCAGTAGGGCGTCTCGGCCGCACTTCACCGAGGTATGGGACGCAGGGTAGAAATCTGCTGTGCGTCGGGTACAGTTTCGGATTTTTTTTATTTTCCGGGGTGGAGCCCTGTGGCGCGCAAGAGCTGCCTTGGTTGGTGAACGAGGGAGGGTTGGCATCGCAGCTTGCGTCTAGCGTTTGGCCCGGCTGCTGCTCGGCTTTTGACACACGTCTATGTACGCTGTCATTTTTTTTGCTTTGTGTTTTATGCTCTTGTGCAGGCGGCATACCGAACAGACATGTCTGTGGAGGCGTGGCTGGACTCCCGGGGTCTGGGTTCCTTGGCAGAGGCGTTCCTCGCCGCGGGGTATCAGGATTTCCTTGTTATTCAGGTACAGTTACAAGATACCTCGAATACACAACCGAAAATCGATCGATCACGCTGAATACACGACCGAACACCGATCAATCACGCTGTTATTGCTGAAAGAGACACAACGTGGACTTGGTGAGGGTGTTCCTTGTAATTACCTGCTTTTGGGGAGGTTCTTATTCTTGGTGACAATTCCGGAGTCAATTTGGGGCGAGAATATGTATGGTTGTCACCTTCAGCACCAGCATCGTTGTCGGCGGCGGCGGTGGCGGCGGCGAAGACGTCCTTGTAGCTTCCCTATCACCGCCTTAAAGCGCATCCACGTGCCTCCGTGTTGATGTGTTGAGTTACACGGGAGAGTCAGTTCGTATGCACAGTGGGAAAACTGATAACGAAGAGCTTTTGGTTTTGTCTTTTTGTTTTATTTTTTGTGTTATGTTTTCGGGATAAGTCATGTATTGTGATGGCGGCGCAGAAAATAAAATAGAAAAATAATCAAGTTCCCCCGGGAGAGTAGCAGTACCTTCGCCAACCAACATGGGAGCCTACCGGGGACGCGCTTGTGATAGTACGCGACATTGCCGGTTGCCGTATCTTGTGTCAACGGCCGCCTGCGAAGCTACATATATGCCGCTGTTTACCAGTTAGACGTGAGGTTTTGGGCTGGCCGCAACAGATTGTGCCGATGGCGAGAAAGAAACGCGGTGAAAGCACGGCCTGAAGTCTCGTCTCTCATCATCACTTCCTCGGTGGTGTTCTCCAACTCCCGTTCATTCTCCCATCCCATCCCGTTCCGTCTCCCATCCCATCCCGGCCCCTTCCCATGGACCCCTCGCTTGTGACCGTTCTGGCATATGGCAGGAGATGGGCCTGACGGACGTGGACCTCGCCTACATAGGCGTGAAGAACCCGGCGCATCGAAAGGCCCTCAAGATGGCGGCCGGGGGATTCGTGGAGCTCATGCTCCAGGTCGAGATCAGCGGATACTTCAACTTCAACTCGGAGTTGGTGAGAAAAATACTAGACCCTAAACAAGCCCAGTATCCAGCCGGTTTTCTTCCCACCCACTGTAAAGACTTCAACACGTCCCTTCCGACTGTTAAAACACCAGGCGGGCGTAAAAAGAACATGTTTTTTCTGTATTTTTATTCTATGTTGACGCAAAAAATAAAAACAGCAGACGGGCTCGTACATCCTTTATTGCCAAGAGGAAAACGAAGTAGTGTAAAACGCTTAATTTTTCAAAATCTATTATATCTGAAATAATCGAACCATCAGTTTAGGATTTTGTTTTAGATAAGCCTAATTCTTCAACCAACGACCAATAACAACATAAGATCAATTATTGAATGTAATAATCCCTATAAGTTTTCTAAGCAGGATCCAATTTCCTTCGATAGATAAGGATTTTGTTATATTTTGTTTTACAAATCTTAAAAAGCTGGTAGGGTTTGCTTTATTTTTTATATGTTGTTTCTGTACACATATATATATATATGTTGGCACGCGTTTTTTGTAAACATGCATGCAGGCCTATTATAGGCGCTTTTCACCCTCGCGCGTTCTACGTTTCCACGCACGTGTGTAGCATGATCGTTGTTTCTTTTTTTTCTTTTTTCAAGACCCCCCCCCCCCCCCCCCCC